GGGGGGGGGGGGATATAAAAATGACTTCCAATATTCGACAGAATGTTTCTTTTATTAGATTCATTGCTGGAACTGTTTTTATTCTCAGCATCTACCCACACTTTTATTTCCAAGCTTCAGCTATAGTCATTCTTTGAGAAAAAATTGCCCAAATTTGGTTGCAAACTTAATTCTGATGATTACGGCAGCTTGAATGAACAAACATCTCTTCAATAAATTTGAATTTTACGCCCATCACGAGTATATATATATATATACTGATTTTGTAATTCAGTAAATCAACAATTAAATCACAACCTTCGCTGTGTTGTTTTAAAAAGATTCAATGTGAATAAGAAGTTCCTTGTTTCAATCTTAATACAGTTTGTTTCTCATCAGGACTACGCAACAATGGATGATGATGAGCATTTCCAAAGGTTATAAATGAAACAAAAATATCTCTATAATGGGCGTAGGGATGATTTTGCAGACGCTTTTGTATTCCACTAGTCATATATGATATATTATTACTTTATCATTGTACTATATATATAATTTTATATGCGTTTGGGCTTAAATAGAGCTGTTTTAAGGCCAAAAGAAGATACAACTTTTAAGATGAAAACGACAAATCCCTTATCATATAATTTTGGAGTTTAACACTTAAACAAATTTTATATAATTTTTTTTGATATTCAATAGATATGCACCGAAAGACACCTTTCTTATATGTGTTGTTGTGCATAAGATTTTCCAACAAGAGGTGTGATTTTAAATTTCGATCAGCTTTTGAACTCTCACTATATAGCTGTCACTGTGGTCACATTTATCAATTAAAAACTAAAATGTGCCGAGATATGATTCGAAATACATTCGTAGATTCGTTGATTAGCGGCTAGAAAGCAATATCCAAGATAACGATTTTTAAGCAAAATTATTTAGAGTGATTATCTGTGAGGATCTCATAACACATTTGCGTTGACACGTAAATGATTAAAACTGTAGCATCCGGGCGGTGATACTGGGCCGTAATTTGTTTAAACTTGGCGCATTAACGTATGGTAATGTCTGATTTTTTTTCAGTCCGGAATTGATGTTGATGATGATGGAACGAACCATTTTGAATAGCTTAGGTCAAAATACGCGAGTGTGCCAAACTTCATCATAACTTTAGAAAATTAAAGATGACGCAAGAGATAAAACTTTTTGGGTAAATTAAAGTGAAAACGAAATTTGCTAAAGTTGAATATGTTTGTTGAAGAGAAAATCTAAACAGAATCTAAGTAATAGGCGCTTGCATACATTTTGGTGAGCGAAACCTATTGGTGAAAGTGATAAACTAATGCGAAATACACACAACCACTCAGAGTGCACAGAACCGTTCGATGACCTTTGTTTCAGTAAAAGACACGGTTTACCATTTAGTATTATTGTGTTATTCGGTGTATTCAGACTCCAATCATCGAACGCTCAAAATTGCCTTTTCAACATTTATTAGTTTTGTTGTTTGTTCATTGTTTGGTTTGAGGAAATCTCCGAGACCGAAACCGAGACCGAGACCGAGACCCATTAAATACTTTCAGAAGTTTATGGTGCTGCTGCTCCATCATATTCCAATTGTCGGTTTTGCTGTCAACGGTTTAAAAGTGGTGATTTTGATATGCTCGACAAAGAACGCCCAATGTCATGGGAAAAAAGTCATAGGTTAGTCCAGGAGGGACATCAACATCGTTGCCAAATCGGAATATTCATGGCCACAAAGTTTTGCCGTGCATATGGTGAGATCAACAACGTAGTATTAGTAGTAGTAGTGTATTACGAACTGGTAAAAGCGAATGAAACTGTTTTACCGCAGATGTCCACCGGCCCGATGTCTACCTCTGCGGATAACAGAGGCAAAGTCATCCATTTTCTCCAAAGTCATCAACGCTCGGCCACACGTTGCAAGAGTTACGTTTTTCAAGGTCACATTGTTGCAGCTTGAATGTGAAGTTCTGCCGCACACAGTGTACTCACCAGCCATATCGCCTTCTGATTAGCAATTGCTCAGAACGGCGCAACATGGCCTGGCTTACAAGTGATTTCGAAATGCTAAAGTAGTGCAAAAATTGATCGATGGATGATTGGATTGTCGTCAAACCAATATCGTTCTTTCGACATGTTGATGACATGAAGATGTTCAACAAGTTCTAGAAAATTATGGGAAACACTTTGATTAATATATATTGCACTAATTTTCCTTAATAAATGACTTTTGATGAAACGTTGATCAAAATACATGCAAGTAAAGTAACTCATTAAATTTCTGTCGTGCAATCGCTTTAGAGAGCACCTATAACGTTTAAACTGACAGTTAAAAGTTTGAATTTGCATTAAACTGACTCAGTCGTTGCCTCATCATTTTGAATATCTTTTAACTTGACATTAGCCTAAGTTAAATTCTTAGAGGTTAGGAAAACAATCTTTCAAATAGCACTTGATTTACGGAAAGCTGTCAGTTTGATGAGTAAATTGTGTGGATCGTCACACGCGCAAGAATGCAGATAAAAAATTGAAATTTGGCACTTACACATGAATACTGTGTACACAATGCTAAAGGATGCGGAGAAGCTGAAGCAATCTCGGACAACATCGAACATTTGACGATAAACTCGAATGCAACGGTTGTTGAAATAAGTTGGAAATAAATGCGAAATAAATTGGAAATAAAATTTTGTTGTTAATTGTAGACGAAGTAGTGGACCGATGTGGATAATTTTTGCACTTATCGTGCAGCTGATTCTGGCAAACATTTCGGTAACAGCTTCTCAGAAATGTATTTCCGGGATCGAAAGTTGTAGGCGAACATTTGAAAAAGTACTTGAGTGTTTTTCGCGGTTGTTCTTGTTTCTTTTACGTATACGTGAACACCATCGTACCCATTTTTTCGATTAATGGGTACTTGTGCCAAATTTTAACTATCTCTCTTCATTTTTGCGACTATAACGATTCACAATATTTACCCGTCAAACTGATGGGATTGATCATAGAAATAGGTATACAATATCAAGATAGCAAAAGTGGGCGTGTACCAGAGAAAAAGAGTAAACATGTATGTTTGCTGGATTATATCATTAAAAACAAATATTTAACAGGTAAGGATGATGTCGGGTTGCTCGCGTTAACTTTTAAAATTAAAAATTTGTGTCATATTGACGGATGCCGTATATATGGCGACAAATGTTAACACATTGAAGACGCAGGTATGCAGTGAAGAGTGTTTAGTGTGAATGTTTTAATGCTACTTGCAGCATTGTTTTTTGGAATGACATGTTTGAAAACAAGTTCCATGATGGAGGGAGAGGTACTAAACAAAATTTGCAAATATATCGAGTATCGCTTCTCTTATTGTTTGCAGTACATATTCAACATCTTTTGCATGGCTATTTTTGTTTACCTTTGCTAACAATTTTTTCTGGAACATGTAATTGCATATTCCCTGATAATCGTTCTGGTGGATCGTGATAAGGAGCACGTCTGGTGGCAGTAGAACGTCCTCCGCTACATCTTCACTAGCCCATGTTTTTCCAATCTTCAGTAAAAAAAAACTTTATATTTTATTTTCGCTGTAGGGTTTAACTTTTTGTATACGGTGTATGAATTGAACAGTCCATCACCTTTTTTTGACCACTTGATCATTTTACGGAGCATGAAATAATAAGACAAATGCTTTATCTACACCCTTCATGTAAGCATTGCACTTATCGATACGATACAAACAAACTTTGTGTTTATAGTACCATTTCGATAGAAAAGAAATCATCACTATCACTGTCATCATTTATGCCATTTGCACC